TTATTCTTATTCTTATTATTATTATTATTAGACACGTATTTATATGTACATAGAACGACTATTGTTAACCACCTACAGGACCAGATGTGCCTCACCCAAAGACTTGGAACTTTCTATTAAAACCCTCTTTGGCCTCACCGAAGGACCTTACAACTTTTTGTTTATAACCTCTTTGGCCTTACCCAAGGACCTTAGAACTCTCTATTCATAACCTCTTTGACCCTACCCAGACACCTTAGAACTTTCTATTTATTATCTCTTTGGCTTTACCCAAGAACCTTAGAACTCTCTATTTATAACATCTTTGGCCTACACAAGCACCTTAGAACTCTCTGTTTATAACCTCTTTTGGCCTTACCCAAGAACCTCAGCGCTTTATAACCTCCTTGAACTCACCTTGTAGGGGTCAACAGCCCCAGAACCAGTACGCAGAACGTCCATCCACTCCGGCGCCAGGTAACCTGGGGAGCCATGCCATGTGTCCACTTCTGTACAGCCCTCCGGGATCTGCCGAGCATGGCCGAGGTCACACAGTTTGGCCGTCTTGTCTTCCCGGACCAGGATATTCCCCAGTGTGACGTCACCGTGGACTATTCCATGTTCGTGCAAGTATGTTAACTGTGATAGGTGAGGAGGAGGATGGAGAGGGAGGAGGGGAGGAGGGGAATGGAGAGGGGGATGAGAGAGGGGGAGAGGGGGGATGAGGGGTGAGAGAGGGGGAGAGGGATTGGGGCAGGGAAGAGGGAAAGGGGAGGAGGGAGATGAGGGGAAGGAGGAGGAGGAATGGAGGGGGGAGTAGGAAGGAGGAGGGGGAAGAGGGTGGGGAGGGAGAGGGAGGGAGGGAGGGAGGAGGGGTAGGAGTTTGGGTTTGGGGGGGGGATAAAAAGATGTTTAGGGTAAGTGTGTTGACTGCCTAGATGCAACTGAGAGTTATGTGTTTTGTTTTACAGATTCAAACAAAATATCCTTGTCAATACTTGGGGGCGGGGGGGTCTATGTAGGATCTAGGTGTGTGCATGTGTGTGTGTGTGTGTGTGTGTGTGTGTGTGTGTGTGTGTGTGTCTGTTAGTGTGTGTCTGTGTGTGTGTGTTGGGGTGGGGACGGAGCAAAAAAATAAATTTAACCATGATCACTTTGTCTGATTCTGATCTGACATTTGATGATGATGATGATGATGATGATGATGATGATGATGATGATGATGATGATGATCAAAGTTTGTATGTTGTCTAATACTTTTATAGTGGAATTGCTATTGAATTATAAATACGTATGTTTAAAACAAACATCATTATCATGATAGATACAAAAGTAACTGTAAATTTGACCAGAATGATTCATTGCTGGAAACAACAGGCAGGCATCGATTGAATCAGTGTACAGAACTACTTTCTATTCCGAACTTATAATAATAAAAATGTCATCTCTAACAAAATAAACAAGTAGGCGTCGTCTTATTTTGCTTTAGTAAGTTGATGAAAATATAGATTTTGACGACGATAGTCAGGATAATTATAAGGATATGAGGTCGGCGGCCTAATGGTTAGGCTCTCGGACTCGCAACCGTAAGGTCGTGGGTTCGAATCCCGTCAGGGGCCCGACGTTGTGTTCTTTGGAAAGGCACTTTGCACAAATTTTCCTCACTTCACCCTGGTGGAAACGGGTGCCCGGCTACAGACAGTGAACGGTCTTGTCAGTTTGATAGTGTTTGAGCGCGTGAAATCCGCAGCTTGCACTGTATGCTTCCACGGAAGCCGAGAATGTTTCCGAGTGTTCTCAGAGGGTCTGCTGGGGTAATAATACATGTAGTTGTAAAGCGCATAGAGCATGCTCTTGAAAATGGATATGCGCTATATAAATGGAATTCTTCTTATTATTATTTCCACTTACAGCGTTGCTCATTTGAGACAGGACTAGCTCAGCCTCAATACGGTGGAGCTGTGCGAAGATTTTCTCCAGATCGGTCAGACAGTTTTCCGTAAAGATCACGAAACAGTTTGGACAAATCACCTGTGGTTAGGGGAGATCAGAGACCTTGTGATGTAATAATAATAATAATAATAATAATAATAATAATAATAATAATAATAATAATAATAATAATAATAATAATAATATAAT